AATAAATGACTAGTGATTTCCAAACAGACAGAAATCCAAACAGATTATCTAGATGCAATTGGTTTTATTGAAGGTGAATGCAGCTCTTTTGATTTAATGTCCCTTTGTCAAATGTATTTATGCTAAAATGTTCTCTGCAGAGACCTTGCAATTATTTCCAATATAATAATCAAATTTGTGAGTAGAGTGCGCAAGACAAATGGGCGTCTATGGAGTCATTTTCACGTTTTGGTAAATGAGCGATCTCTCTAAAGATCATTTTTGTGAACATCACAAACCAAAGAGGGTACTCAAGACTAGTTTTTTTTTTTTTTTTTTTTATGGTTTGTTTGTGTTTTGTTATGCCTGGTCAGTTTGTTGTGTATGCACATTCACGAACAGTATATCAAAATACCTTGAATGTTTTGGGGTTTTTTTCATTTAGTGATCTACACTCTTGATTGTGTTGACATTGTTTCCTCAACATGCATTTCATTTTACATCCCACACTGTGTCTCTGACATGTGAGGAGGCATATGCTGTGGAGGCCTGATATATGCCAGAATATTGACATTGAGAAAACAATGATCAAACTGTGTTTGTGGGATGATATAGCATGGTTTATTATCTTTCTAATACTGTATGTGTATTTTATTTCCCAAGATCATGATGGGGATGATTAGCTGGTGGTGTTGTGTTTTTTTTTATTTTTTATTTTTAATCAAAATCCTGAATCTCTGCAATGTCCCATATGAAGTTTTAATCATGTTGACTAACTTTTTTTTTTTTTTTTTTGTTGGTCTGTACTTTTCACCTGAAGTGTATTTGGTTTGTTTTCACTGTACTGCTACGTGTGGCGCTCCAAGCTTTCTCTTGGGACACAACCAGCCTAGTGGCATGCTTTTGGAAAAGACTTGGGTACAAATACAATTGAAAACACTTCCCCTGCGATTTAACTTAATTAATTGTGGTAAAAGTACAAACCCAGGTCAGTGTTGGTCACAGGATGGTGGTGGTGTTACGTGCTAGCCTGCCGTCTTGCTAGAGCTCTTGTATTCTCTCTGCTTATGGCTGCCCTTTCTTATCTCCCCCGTCCCCCGTCCCCCAAAATGTGCGTTCGTTCCGAGCAAAATGAATGCATTGTCACTTGTATGTGTACAAAGCTATATACAAAAATTACAGGAGTAATATTTTGCAGTCTTAATATACAAATTTTTGATTTATGTAAATGACAAGGGAGAAGAGTCATTTTATTATAATATAAAAATGTGTTGGATATGATTATAATGTATAAAAAGATTAAAATAAAACTTATTTGTGAATGTATTGTAAATTATTCATTTATGATAGCCATTGAGCTCCACTTTGTCATTACTTATTTATTCATCCCCTTTCAAAAAAATATTAACAATAGAGATGGCTGTTTTTACTACAGGGTTATTTATGATAATATTGGTTGTCACTGACAATACTGAGGTCATGTTCTTGGTGTGTTTGTGGAATTTGGGGTTTAGAGCAAACTGGTGGAGACTTTCCCTGAATATGGTGAGCTTTTTATACAGTGATTCCTGTACCCTTTAAGTCATTTAAATTGGCAATACAATGAAAGTATTTCCCCACCACAATTTTGTTCTCAAGAGTTTGAAGAGGGCTTTAACAGCATTCAGACCATGTAGGGAAATCAAATGTATAAAACTATATATTAGTTTAGTTTATATTTTTATAGATGACTATATAATTAGAGACGGTTAATCGAATAAATGAAATATGAACAGCTTGAATAATTTTAAACATTTTAGAGACTTTGTTGTTTGTGTCAGGTCACAATTTGGTGGTGGCCAGTTGGTGGTGGATGCTTGCGGCGACCCTTTCATGCATAATCTGGATGATTTTTCCTAACTAACCTCCAAAATGTGATACTAGGCCGGCCCCTCTTTCAACTGGTCTGGTAATACAGCCGGATGTAGTCGTTTCTGATTGGCTGGAAATCTTTCAGTCATCATTGCAACAACGACTATGCTTTATTGTTCCAGGTAGGTAACTTTCAATAAATAGACTGCACTCCGATTGAGAGATGGATGACGAGTTGAATGCAGACTATATTAAGTATATATTTGAAGTTGTCTTTTAAATACATCTTAATTAATTTTAAAAAAAATATTATTAAATATTTAACTAGCTAGAGCATTAACGTTAGCCTACAGACAAAGCGTGGTGACAAACTTTGTGACGCACCAATGAAAAAAAGGGTAACTCTGAACCTTAAAGTCGACATTGTAACCTACTTGTGAAGTTAGTATTAGCTAAACTGTTTCCTACTGACCCCAGTACTCAGTTAACATTACGTGTAAAGTTAGGCCTCACGTTACAGCTGCAGGCACATTTTTAAATGTACTAATTATAAATGTTTCAGCATTTGGTACTAGGTCAAGCTGATATCTGCCTTTTTTTAACTGCCTCCTTTTTAATTTTAATCAAAACCTTCATTCAGACAGTATAATGACAAACACAGCTTTAATGTGGGGTGTCTGGAGTTGGAGAGCACCAGCTTGTATTGGACTGAAAAGCGACATTGCCATAAAAATGTCTGACATCATCTGAGACTGCCATGGCCTGAGAAGAACTAATTTTGACTGTGGGCAATCAGGGCAAAACTGAAACAGAAGGCAACTTGTGTAAATATTATGCGAAAGTGTATATCCTGCTATTTCATTTCACTTAGGCTGCAACTTATTCACCTGCATCCTCTTCACTTAGCATTGCAAATTATAGCAAATGATGGCACCAAACTTCCAAGTACTGCAATTCATGTGTGTTTCTGAAGTTTGAAAGCTGTGATTCCCCTGAGCTTATGCAGAGACACTGCTGAATAGTGCCCTCTAGGCAGAGGGTGTGTCACTACCTCTCCCTGCCAAATAGCCCCTTCATTCCCAACGCATGGTTATCTGTGCGGCGTCAAGGCAGTGTCAAGCCCTGCTGCATTGTGGAGTACGGCTCCTGTGAGACTGGAGCCAAAAGGCAACTGTTTACAGGCCGCAACATTATGAAAAGTACATCTTGTGTCTGCATGAAATGTATGACTTTAAAGTGCTTTTAGAGGTGCGTTGATATGGATTATGGTGCAACAGAATCATCAAATACATCTTGTGCTCCATCCCACTCCATGGCATAATGGCTGGCTTGCACTCACTGAGGGGGTGTGCGGGTGGGCGGTTGGAAGTGGCGCAACATCGAGCGCAATAGCTGTAAATTTACACATGGGAACTTGCCATTCCCCTCAGTGGATAAGACTCTTTTCGACTTAGTAATGTCTACTCTGATGCCTCACCTGTTGGAGCCTGGCAGGTATTATGTACAGAGACTGGGCCAAGCCAGAAAGTGTATCCAGGGGGTTGCTGGCAGCCCCTACTGTATGTGCTGGAATTTGCCAAGGCTTGCTTTTGGGGTGGGACACCATGACCTCAGGCAATAGGATGGGTGGGTGCGACTCACACAGAAAAGGAAAAGAGTAGTGAGAGATGAGGCGAGTGAGAATTGACAAGAGTTAAAACTCATTTACCCTCATATCAAGTATTTGAGTGTCCATAGAGTGAATGGTGGCTGGCATTCACTGTAAAGCCACAGAGTGGGAAGGCGTGGGTTAATGATTTGTGTCATCTCTGATTGAGTCTATGACTTTGACAACTGTCCACTTTGGAGCGCAAAGACATTTCTACTTTACTTTTGCTTTCGCAGAGGGAGGAGGGAGAGGAGACCGAGGGGGATTGCTGTTTCTTTAAGAGAGAGGGAGAGAGAGTGAGTGCGAGTGAGAGAGAGAGAGAGAGAAAGGGAGGGACCTCTTTGCCCTCCAGAAACCAGGAAGGGAATTGAGTTGATCTGCTGCTGCTTGGTTAGCGCATACGGGGCTTTAAGCTGCACAACAGTGAGAGGGAGAGGAGGAGAGGAGAGGGCTGAGCTAACCCACAACAAGCTTCACCACGGCCATCGCAGGTGAGCTAAAGGCACCCTGCCATCCCCTCGCTGTATGCCCTGGGCCTGTCGACCAGAGGGGAGCAGGGCAGAGGAGGAGAAGAGAGAGGGAGGAATGAGGGAGGGGGACAGAAAGGAGAGCAGGGTGGGGGGGTTGGCCGGAGAGGAGAGGTGGGTCGCAGCAGTAGTCCCTAGTCAAGGTTCCTCTTTTTTTAATCCTCCTAAAGTACTTCCTCTGTACTGCTGTTTACCTCTGGGGAATCTTGAGATAAAGTTTATAGGATGTGTTCAAGGCATTAACTTTTCAGGCAGGTGGAAGCACTTAGACAAGGAGGAGGAGGGGGATGGGGGCTCTCTCTCGAGAGAGGGTGCGGGGGGGTGTACTGAACGAGGGGAAGGAGGAACCAAAAATAATTACATTGGACAAGGTATAAGCAATAGCAACAACTTTTTGGGATAGTGGCAATTGAAATGCTCAGTGCGGGGCAAGTTGTGTGCGTTGTGCGCAGAGCATGTTATAGCGGCATTAGGCTGTTTGGAAGGGGAATAAGTCATAATTTAGGTCAGGAGTTTTAAGTGTGTCTGAAATGTCACTGGAGTGTGAGCCAATGAAACAATCCACCTCTGATGTTTGGTTTCTGCTCTGACAGTTGAGGCTGAAATGATTTTATTTTTTCATACGACGCTCGGCCCTGTTTGATGGCTGGTCTGTACTTTAATACCTGGCAGCCTGCTAGCAACATACTGTAGTGTATAATTCAGCCCTGAGTGCTTACGTTAGAGCAGGCTTGGAGATAGTGGGGGGTGGTGAGGGCAGAGAGCGCTGGGACTCGTAGTCCACAGCGGGGGCTGCAAAGCAGGTTGAATGAGGTTTCAGAACTCTACATCCCAGAGTGCCTTGCCCTTGGCCATCCAGGAAAGGGAACAGCCGCTAGCCTATCCTGACAAGGAGGTGTGGTGAGTGAGCAGCTGTCAAGCCAATAAGAGCAGGGGATGCAGAGCTGAGTTGTGGGCTGAAAACAGAAGGGGGGTGGGGGGGGGGGGGGGGGGGGGGGGTGGTGTCTGTTTGTGTGGGATCAGGCAAGGGCTTGCCTGTATGACTAGGGCCACTCGCAAGTTTCCTGTCTGGTAAAGCTCTAGCCCTGCCCAGAGACGGAGGCAGCAGAGCTGGCCGGCAGGCAGGGGAGGCAGATAGGGCCCGGGAAACATTTTCTGCCTATTTGGTAAGCACTCCAAAGACATCCACATACACACTCACACTGTGTCTTTAGACTGTGACTGAGCGGAGAAGAGAGGCGAGCAGAGGAAATAAATACCATAGCGTGTTGTGTGTGAAGTAGAGTGAGAGGGATGGGGCTTGATAGAGTTCAGAGTTCTTGACCCACTTGCGGATAAAGAAGTGGATGACAAATAGGTCAGGACTGAGTGCAAGGTGCTGCACAGAACACTGCTCTGAGAAATAGTTATTGTCATAAAGTTTTTATTCACATCAGGCCAACTTTTTAACTATGGGCATGCAAGTTCATCAAGGCATAATATTCTTTTTAATGTTCCAATGTTTCATCCACTGCTGTGATTAAATGGCACTGCCGCTATTATTAATAGAGTGAAAAGATGAAGTCCGTTGCGCATCCTGTACTACTGCTTCTTCAGGGGCGTTATAGTAATTCCACAAAAAACACTGCATCAAATGTTTGCTAGACTGTGGCAGAGCAACCATGTTGATAGCTGACATTCACATTCAAGTGCAGGTGGGGTGTTGAGTAATCGTTTATTTGAGAAACCTAAGTGACATCTTCTTGCTGAAGGGGAGAATATGTGGCAAGTCTTGTGATGACTGTAACAATTTCTCAGTCCGATTAAATATTAAAGTAAAACTTAAGCTCTGTTAACTTTATGGCCCCTTTTTTCTCAGCTACTCACACCATGGTCAATCTCATGGCATCTTGGCATGGTATTTTACTACCAGTTCACTCATCCCCCTTCCTCACTAGCATCTTGTTAAAAACAGATTCTAATCTCGCCTGTCATGTCCTGCTTGCTTGTGGCTCGTGGTTTAAAGACTTCACAAGAACTCTGACTGCCTTGCTCGATAACCAGATGCATATTTTTTGGCTTTGCATACTTGTTGAACCCGTTTTCTAAACGTGTGGGCACGGAGAGGGTACGAGAAGAGCACAGTACATGAAGACGCCCAAATGCTGGGAAAGTGTTTGGAATGCCTCTACGAAAGCGGCTGCAAACAAGGTTGATGACATTTTTTATTCAGTTCAATGTCACAGAATATATTTGTTACAGTAAATATTGTCCTGACGCTACCCTCTATGCAACTTCCTAGGTACCACTATGGAAAAACAGTACAGTTAGTTCAAGTAAATTCCAGCAAGAGGTTAAACTAGGACGCCATATGTGTTTGTGTGTGTGTGTGTGTGTGTGTGTGTGTGTGTGTGTGTGCTTGTGCATGCGTGTGCATCTGTGTTACCAACAATAGACTCCAGGGGAATTGCAGGGGACTTCAGTGGCTGTGGGCAGGTCCAAGACACCACCCATCAATTTGGCGGTGAGGCTGAATACAGTTTGATATTCCTGTATGTTTGTGCCTACACCACTATAGCCTGAAACTAGCAGGTTCAGACAGACTGAGAAGACAGGTTGCGTGATGTCGCCGTGGCAGTTTGAGGCTTTATTTTAGAGTGAAATGTTGGCTGTATACAACGCAGTACATGTAACAGTCATTATGTTTTGTTCAAAGTTTTGTTTATGTGGTCAAATTATGTATTGTGGCCCAAATGGTGGAATTAAAACCCGAGCTTTTGTGTACCAAACGGCACCATTTCTGTGCTGCTATTCTATTTCTATATATTTATTTGTATAAGTTAAAACTTTTTTCTTTTCTCTTTAACAGTTTTAATACTTTTAATCATAATCTTCATGGGTGAATGCAGCTTCACTTCCCCCTAATGTTTGGTTCCCCTGGTCAGCTGCTCAGTATACCACAGCTTCCAGCCTAGCTAGGCAGATAGACAGACCCCTCTCTGTTGTTTTTCTGTTGTTGTGCTGAAGTCTAGGAGGAGTAAAGGGGCTTCTTCTGTTCTCTTCTGGGGCATTTATTATGGAGAAGCCAACACAACCTGATCAAATTAGAGCGGGAGAGGAAGAGGCTGGCGCTTTTTTTTAAGGGGAAGTTAAAGCTAGACTTGAATTTTCACACTTCTGTAGTTTAAATGATGTCTTTTAATAATATATAAATTGGAGGTTTTTATGTGATAGTCGTATGAATTAGTTGAAGGCTGTAGGCTTTTGTCAACAATGTTATTTATTGTGATAGTGATATTAAATACTGTAGTACAGAGATGTACCAGTACAGATGTACCAGAACCTCCTTTTAATTAATCAGAAAGGCCAACTGATCAAGAAGGGGATAAGTGACCAGTCTGACACTGTCTGCATGTTGATTTAGTAAATTAGTTTGGGATGAAACAGGAGAGAAAATGGGTGGGTTGCCTCAAAGGACAGCGAGACACAGGAGGCTGGGTAGGTCTGCACTGCTTTGCCTCCTCAGCAGTGCAAAGGGGAAGTGGGTGATGTGGTTGGTTCTGTGCAGTGCAGAGTCTTAGACAGAGATAGAGCAATGATGAGATGAGAGCGACAGATGAGAGGAAGAGAGGGAGAGGGTCAGACAGTAGGGACAGAGAGAGCAAGCAAGCAGAGAGCTGGTCATCTGATAACAGAGCGGGTTCTGTTACAAGCCTGCCACAGACTCACAGGAAGTCCTCTTTCCCTGTTGGGCTGCGCACGCACAACGTGGTGCAGCCAGGGCATGACGGGCCCGCAGACTGACCAACCGGTCAGCTTGAGTTCTGCTGGGAGATGCTGTGTTGGGGTGTAGTGCTGCCTCTGAAGCCATGTGCTAGATTTTGTTACACTTCCTGGTTGGCAGCATGGTAGTGACAGAGCATGTTACTCAAGCTAAAAGGAACTCAGACTGTGGATGTGGTTTTATTACACTGCAGCTTGTGAAAGGCTACTGTCCCAAGACATGTGTTTTAGGACTCATGACTTCACAATAAAATATTCAGTGAAAGACGATATTTTGACTGGCATGAGTAGTGTTGTAGTTTTTTTAGTTAGTGTTGTTACACTGTCTTAACAAACTAACATTATGAAATGAATTAATTAATTTGATAATGGCGCTACACTGTTGTGTTTCTCAGTATGGAGTGTTTGCCAAGACTACTTCTTTAGTTGTTTGTATGTTGTCTAAATTCTATACTTTTGTGTTGTTTTCTTTCCCCGACATTTCTGTTTTTATTTGGTAGGCAAGATTGAGAAAGACAGGAAAGGCAAGGGAGAGAGAGAGAGAGAGATGGAGCGAAGGGCCCGGGCCGGATTCGAACCCGGGCCGCTGCCATAAGGACTCAGCTTTGATATGGTATGTGCTCTACCAGGTGAGCGAACGCAGCACCCCAATGCTATACTTTGTAGTGGAGTGGCACTGAACCGCATTTTTTTATTATAATGTTCCTAATATTTTTGTCTGCTTCATTTACATATGGAGAAGAAAAAAGATTTAAAAAGAGTAGTTGTAATTCACAGCTGCCGTACTGGATTTAATTGTTGACTGTCTGACTGATACAAACAAGCAAGAAAACAAAATACAGACAAATTTAGAATAGTATGAGAGCTAGTTAGCAGCTATAGATTTCACCTTTCCGGTTCCTTTATTATCTGGCATCACAAAACATAGATCTTTATAATGACATCATAAAACCCCCTGCTAGCTCCCTCACATTAAACTTTACCCAGCTTGTGGGTGGTTACCTTTCCTGCTACTGAGGCAGGTTACACCAGGTAACTGAATGAGTTTATCATTGACATCTGAGCCGGATTCCTAGGCCATACGCTGAGGAGTTATGAGTGAGCTTGTGTGTTTTAACGCCCTGCCTCGCCCACTACCTTTTCACTTGCTTTGTGTCTGTGTTTTGGCAGCACTTCCTGGTTAGTTTCGAGTAAAAGCGGCCAGGCCTAGACCAGCACTCGCAACTTCAGTTTTATCAGTCACTTGCCATCTTCCTGCTTTGCTCCCAATATGACCAATCAGGTTTCCTTCCACTACTGGCAGCAGTGAGTCACTTGGCTGTGGTGCTTGCTCAAAATCCACTCTTCCTAGGAACTACCACCCCCTCCCCATTCCGATTATCTTGCATTATCTTGGTCTGACCTTGAACCTCCTTGACCTGAGTGAAGTGATTCTCTTGCAACAGGGCAGGCTAGGCAGATTTTTCTGTCATAGAGACCAGTTGAGATAGTCAGAGACAATTGAAGGAAAAAGAGTGTGTAAAGAAAGGGCCAGGGAAGCATAGACAACAGCAAAGAGCCAAACAAATTCTTTGACTTGTTGTTTAATATTCAGATTTTTAAAATCGTTTTCAGTATTGGCTTTGCCTCTGTATTTCTATTGCACCTAAATCTTAATACATGCACTGGTGGTGGTTTAACTATATGAATTATTCTGATAGCAAGTGAGCTATTGAATGCATAAAGTCTTCACCTGAGTAATGGGAGTAACCCAATAGAATTGTTCTCTTGTAAAAGCAATAGGCTAATAACACTTCACAAAGTGTTTGGTATAAAATTAACAACTGCTCTGTATTTCAGTACTAAAAGGTGGCCCATCTGAGGTCCATTAACATTTATGGTTTAAGGGATCAATGATTCAGTTATGTTTTCTCTGATTGCTCCCACTTAAACTTGGGTTGCCCAGTAGTTTTGAATTGTGCATTAAGTGAATCACTTTTTACATTCTAAATATTAAGAAACTAGTAACTGAAATTTTTGAATTAAAGGAGACCAAAGGGAGGATATTTTCTAAAAAAAAATCAAACTAAAAGGTTTTCTAAAGGGGAAAAATTAAGTGCAGTATACTCACTGTAATAACTGATGTTACTGTTTTGATAGTCTGATAGTAATTATCTTTAATTTATCCTTTTCTCAAGTTCAGGAAAACCTTAAAACATTGTTGTGTACTGCTCTTAAAGTGCCAGCAAGCTTTTTATTTTCTTGTCTATCTAAGAAACATCTGAGGTTGCACAGGGTTAACAGTTTGTTCCTTTTGTATTTAGGAATGACTGGTATGTGTCAGCCAAAGACAGAGATACTTTGAGGGTGGAAATTCTGCAGTCCTTCCATAGGTTATGCATACCAGGCACAATAAAATCAATTTTACTAACTATAATCACAGCGTGATGTCAAAATGTTTGTCAGTGAATGACACGGAAATTGGGTGTGACTGCCTTAGCTTAGATATTAAGAAAACACAGCATAGTCTGAAGTAACAGCACACAGTCTGCTTTACAGGAGACAGTTGTTGGTTGTTAAGTCTCTAATTCTTTACTCTTCTTTTTGTTGTTGCATAATTTGATATATATCCTTGTTGTGTGTAGATGTATGGGAAGGGGTAGAAGCAGGTTACGGATGAGATGGATGTGACGAGGGCGGGGATGGGATGGGTGGGTCCTGTGTTTTGCGGCAGTTTGACTTGCAAAGCAGGCCTGGGTGCTCACAGACTGGGCATTTGAGAGAAGTTCCCTTCCCTGGAAGTGGAACGGACAGTTGCTGCGCTGCTTTGTGCTAGGCTGCGGGCCTTGTCACCCACAGGCATGAATTAGTGATAAGGAATGTTTCAAGCCATGAGGAGGTGTCAGGATCAGGTTTGTTGCACTGTGTTTCCTCTTTCTTTGTGCTCTTTACAGGTTATTCGGGGACTGTTGCTTCTGCATGCAGAGTAGTCCCTCCATGCTTCTTGGCCACTGAATTATAGTTTGTGCGTGTATGTGTGTGTTTTATCTGCTCTCAGCTCAGCGTCTTTACCCCACAAAGCCGTGACCCAGGGTCAGCTGTGTATGTATGGGGGATAACACGCTATGAATGCTTGCAGCACAGCCTGGTCTAGTGCAGGTGCTGTGTGTCTGTGTTAGAGAAAAGCAGGTTGGCTGGGTTCTGACTGGGCTCACAAGAGATCCGTTTCCACCTGTGAAGGACGTGACCGGTAGCCATGTGGTTGCCCTTTCTCTTTCTTCCATCTCCATCTCACTCTCTCGCTCTCCCTTCCTCTCTCCCTCCTCTGCTATCAGCATATTCAGATGAGGAGTTGGATAACAACATTTGCTCATGACTTGTCTGACAGCCTGTTTTCATCAGAGGTTTGTAAAAGACGTTGGCAGTGTTTGCAGAGGCTTTGTGGTCTGTTGCCTGTCAAAACAGATGTATAGTATGGACCACGACAGTGTGGCCCTGTGAGACATTTTACCATTAATCAAACAACAACGTACTCTAAAATATGACCTGTGTTAATTGAATGTACAATATATTTATTTAAATTGTGTTTTTATCATGTTTTTATGAAAAGACTTTTTAGAGGACAATGATAACTTGGAACAAATGTCTGCTATCTTCTCCTACCTGCCTCTCCAGAGGTCTTACCTAACTCTGACCTGTGGGCAGAGCTGACATGTTGCCCAAACTCAAGGCTTGGAAACAGATAGGCGTTGCTTTTAACGGGGGAGAACATAACTCAACAGAGGAGAAACCAGGAGAGGTGAACGCAGGTGAGCAGGTAGGAAAGGGGAGAGGCAGCCAGGTTAGGCAGGTTTGGTAGTGGGGTGTAGCATAAGAACATACCAGGATGGCTGATCTGAAGGAATGTCATTTGAATGCCTCGCTCTTGTAGAGAGCAATACACTCAGTACATCCTCCAACACCCCACCCCCCCTCCGGCCTCACCCCCTGCTGGGTCTCCCTGGCAGATGGAGAAAGGGGGAGGAGGGTGACAGGGGGTGGTTGCCCTATATGTGTGTTTATATACGTGTGTTTTGTGCGTTATTGACGTCTCTGTGATGTTACAGTATTTGGTTGTGTGTGTGTGTGTGTGTGTGTGTGTGTGTTAATAGATCGAGGATGGCTTGTTCTGCTGAAACCCCCCTCCCACTGCGCAGGCTTCAGTCGATCATTTTAATCTCCCCCCACACGTGAGCGAGGGGACAGCCTTTCCTGAAACTTGGCACACAGTACAGGGTGGGGTAACCAGCTCCAGTTTGGACCGGATTGACAACCTCCCTTTTTAATACTGTTCCCTCGCAGCTTGTTACGTGTCCTCTTCCTCCTCCTGTGGAGTTTTTCCACAGGGTCTGCTCTGGCAGTCCCCCCCCCCCCTCTCTCTTTTCCTCCACCTCCCTCGCTCTCCTCCCCAGCACTCGGCTGACAGAGTGCACAAGCTGCACAGCCCAGCTCCCAGCATGCACTCTGATCCCCAACTGCCCTCTGCCTATCTGTCCTCCACGATCTCTTGCTTGGTTTCTTGCTCCAGTGCATACACACACACCTGTCGATGTAGGTGTGTGTACAAGGAAACAGGCACCTAGCCACCTCCACACGCATAAACATCTTCAATTAGTCATTCCTCTCATGGTGCTTTAGCATGCAAAAACTGTTGCTGTACTATACTTGCTGTATGTTTTTGTAGTAAATGTGTAAATACACCTGTAGTTCCAGTATGTTCACTTTAAAATTGGTGGTGTTACTGCATGGCTTCTTTCTAGTTACTTTGGACACTATGTCAAGGCTCTTCTTGAGTCCAGTGAAAAGGAATACAGTATTTTGAATTGGCTGTTTTTGCTACTATATTTTTTCGCGCTCCTCATGTGAGCTACTCCTTACAAAAAAAGATTATTTACAGCATTCAATATATGCGGCAAATGCAAAGCTTTTCACTGTTAAGTTCAGTTTCGGGCACTCACAGAGCCCAAAATGACTTTAACTGTAATCGTTTGTGGGTGAGAAACACATGGTAAAGGATTTTGATGGGGATTGCTTCGGTACAGTATAAAAACACACATTCACATGAAATTATCAATGTGTTGGAGTGAAAAATCAGTAGAGAAGTTTTTGCAATGCCAAGATATTAATGAATAAAGATTATTTGTTAGAGTGAATCATTTCAGATTTTATTTAGAGAAGTGTCAAGTCAGTGCACAGTTTACTTGTTTAAATTGTTTACTTATGAAGGATAAGCATACTGTATAGAGGGGGGAAAAAAACACTTCACCAATTTTAAATGGGTCATATTAGTTTGCAGGCCAATTATCAGTATTCATCAACCACCTATGTACTGTATACTGCTGTTTCAACTTTTTTTTTTTTTTTTTTTTTTTTGACATATTAAGTAATTTTGTTTGTAATTTAAGTCCTTTTTAAAATAGAAAGCTCATAATGCTGATTACCAAACCTGTTTTATAGCTGATAACAATGGTAGTTGGCATGTAACCTGATAAGACCCAACTTTGCCTGTATGTGTATATTTTGCCTACCCTCTGTATGTTAAGAACTGTGCACTAATCCTTTGTACTTAAGATTTAAAATTTCAACTTTGTCCTCCATGAACATTTTGTGTGTGCTGGGTTGTATTCTAAAGCATTATGCTGTATATTTCGGACTGTAGTGAATCAATGAATCAATATTCCTCCCTCCTTCTTCATCCACATAAAGAATGTCATGAACTGATCTATAATTTTCCTCTTCATCCTGCCCCTCCGTCCCTTCCCTTTTATCTAACTCTTCTCCCCTCAGACAGGCAGACGGACAGACGGCAGGACGGATACACGGGTGGGGGCTGTGCTAGGCGGCTCGGCGGCAGGCTGGTGGAAGATGTCGTCAGGAGCCGGTGGGAGGGGTGGAAGGCGGCTCAGGGGAACAGCAACCAGCGGCGGTGGAGGAGGGAGAGGAGGGGCAGGAGAGGCAGAGGAAGGGCCTGTGGGGATCCCTTTCCCTGAGCACAGCGCGGACATCCTCGGCAGCCTAAACAAGCAGCGGCTCAGCGGCCTCCTGTGTGACGTGCTCCTGGTTACCCAGGACCGGGAGTTCCCAGCTCACCGCTCCGTCCTGGCGTCCTGCAGCTCCTACTTCCACAAGCTCTTCACTTCAGGGGCCGCTGCTGACCAACAGAACATCTACAACATCGACTTTGTGGAGGCGGAGGCTCTGGGAGCGTTGCTGGACTTTGCCTACACAGCCACCTTGACAGTCAGTCACAGCAGTGTGGCTGACATCCTTGCCGCTGCACGTCTCCTGGAAATCCCACCTGTCCAGGATGTCTGTACACACCTGCTGGATACCAAAGTGCTCTCCCCGCCGGTACAAGACCATTATAAAACTAGAAGTGACGTGTGCTTAGGTTGGATTTAAGCTTTGAGATAGGATTTGATCTGCTCTGCCTTTAAATGAGTTAGTGACACCATAAGCAAGCCATTGTGTTGAATGAATTTAGAGCGAAGCACAGACCATCTGAGATACAGAACAGTTCATGCTGAATAGATCTGTCATTCAAAATATAGTTCTCCTGGTTTAGCCACTTAGGGAATGATGAGTCTGGTCATCATACCATCCCCTTCAGTAATAGTCAGCATAGTCAAGCTTACATCATGGCCTTTATCAGTCTCTCTCACTATGCCAAACACACACCCACAGCCTTAGGGTTAGTTCAACACTTACTCATTCAGAGCCAATAGTGTGTGTGTGTGTGTGTAAGGACGGCATGCTCTTATGCAGACTACAGACACAGCATATCGCAGCTACACTTCAACACGATCAAGTGTAGCTGTGATATGCTGTGTCTGAATACATAATGCTCTACATTCTACATCATGTGATAATCACAGCTTCGCTTTACTGTGATCATCGCATCATGCACCTGTAACATTGCTGAACTTTGGCAACACTTTTCTCTCACAACCCATAAAGACTTCAACATTGACACTTTTTAAGAATGCTGAATATACCAAAACATATATTGGGCTCTGTGTTGCTTTATTGCTGTTCAAACCCCATACCAGTTGCCAATTATTTTTTATTTCCTGTTTGCACATGCATGTGCTCACGGGCATACTGAGCCCCTTGGTGCGCATCCAGGATACCCACATAGTGATCTGCCCATGCTGATAGGCCTCGCAGTTAGGTTTATTTGTCAGCCTTCACTTTACCTGATGCGCTTTTATAGAATGAGATTTATTTAGAAATATATTTTAGTTTTTCTACTTTGCTCCTGTATGTCTTTCACTTTCCCTTTTCTTTTTTTTTGGTGCAAACTTTCTCCTTCACTCACTCTTTGTTCCCTGTCATGTTTCACTAGGCGGGCAGTGAGCAGAGAGATGAAGATGAGGAGGGTAAGGGCAGAGGAGGCAGGGAGCCGGGGAACCGGGTGCGGGCCCAGGAGTACCTGGAGTACTTCCAGAGAGGGGCGCACTGGAGCAGCAGCTGCAGCACGCCAGAGCTCAGGGACCTGCCCACACACCTGCACTTTAACCACGGTAATGGGGGGGCCCCCAGCAATGGGACTCCAGCTGTCCCTGGTGAGTACTACTCCCCCCTGGCCATCGCCTTGGCCCAGGCCCCCTCACAGGAACCAGAGGATGAGGATGAGGATGAAGAAGAAGATGAGGACGCGGAGGCGGTGCAGGGAAACGGCGCAGGCCTGGGGTCATCTTACTACCCTCCATCCCAAAATGGGCACTTCTACCTTCCCCCTGAGTCTAGGCTTGGGCAGGAGGTGGAGGATGGAGGTAGGGAGGTGATGGCAAGGGAGAGGGGTTCTGCCAGTGCTCTCCTGCAGCAGATGATGGACTCCATCGAGAAGCAGAAGGAGCGTGCAACAACCGGGGAGGAACAGGGAGATGGGGATGACCCAGACATGGAATTTTACTTGAATTATTTTAACAGCTCACAGCATGAGGATACAACTTCTGCTGCTGTGACACAGGGAGTGCCGCCACTCTGGTTATCACGGGGCAGAACGGGCCAAGAGAGAGTTGGAGTAGGAGGAGGAGAGAGGGGGGTTGGAGAGAGAGGCAACGGGGGTGGAGGAGGTGGAGGAGAGAGGAAGATGCGCTCTAAGGCCTTCCAGAAATGCCCCATATGCTCCAAGGTCATTCAAGGAGCAGGCAAGCTACCCCGCCACATCCGAACACACACAGGAGAGAAACCCTATGAATGCGCCATCTGCAAAGTGCGCTTTACCAGGTAAGCCCAATTAATGAAGTGACTTCCCCATGTCACATGTACTAATAGTCTTGGCTCTGTAGACAAACCGCCAAGCAGTGGGAAACACAACAAAGCCGAGAGCAGGAGCATTAGGACTAACCAACTTAGCTTTGCATTAAAGAGGCAGCGCAGTTTGTGAGTCTAAATGTTTACCTTGATCATGGACTGACTATTCCTAACCACTTTTTTTCATCGTCACATTGTAGCCAAATGCTAATCAAAATGGCATGTAGAATATTCCTGCTCAGAGAGAGGGGGTCAGATGGTTATAAAGGTCTGTTTTATTGTGACAGCCTTCATAGCAAAGTCCTGGAATTTTAACATAGGGGTCCTATAAAAGAAGGCTGTACCATGGTAGCGTTATCTAGCGGAAGGCTGCGATAAAGTGCTGTATTCTGATACGGGGGGGATTACAGGCCCTGGATGGTGCTCTGCGTGCTCCAATGCAGAATTTTGAACTTTTGATCTCTGGTTATGTTGATTATTGCCCACGGCAGAGTAGTTTCACCACCTCCCTCCCCTCTCTCTGTCACTCCTTTACCTCTCTAATGAAATCTGCCATGTGCCACTCAGATAATAGTGGCTAGTCTACAGCAAGGGACTTGAGTGCACATGGTTTCCCCGTATTTAGGAGTCCTGCCTTTTCCTTGAAATCATTCCTTTAATTAATTAATCAGTGGACTTGTGCTGGAAATAGATGCAGTAGGCCAGAAATACTTAGAACCTCTGCTGGCACAGTAGGTAGGGAAGACCAATCTGAATTTGCCTTCTAGCTAAATTTGACCGGCAGTGGGAAGGTGGTATTGTAATCTTAATCCTGTTTGATCAGGGTTAAGAGTGTGCCTCGCACAGTAATAAATCATTCTGTCCTTTAAATAATTCACCTCTGTCAGTGTGCCACTTTGTTCCAAGGCTTTGGCCTGTGTGTATGTGTGTGCACGCATGTTTCTCCTTACCCATGTACAATTTTCTTTGTTAATTTTTATATTTGGGCCACCGTTTGTACAGACCTGAAAGGGTTGCAGTGGGTTTATTTGTTTGCTTGTATGACAGCTAATCCACTTAGAGTGTGTGTGTGTGTGTGTGTGTTTGTGTGTGTTCAAATAAAGATGTCTTAACTAGATGTTTAGAAGCCCTCTGCCCTGGGTGCAGAAGGGTTAGACGATTAAAGAACTCGGGAGCTAGAGAGATAGTAAGGGCTAAGGGGGAGGGAGGGACAAGAGTCAGAGGAAGGCCAAGGCAGCCTGATAAAGTTTAGTGGGCGGTGTATCAACCAAAAGTAAGAAATGTTCCAGGATGCAATGAGATGAGAGAAGACGGAAGAAGTCAAGTCATAGTTTGGTCTTTTTATGACCAGCATGTAAATTATTGTTCAACTCGCACATTATTGGAATGTCTTCCATATGAACTGTTTGATTTACTTATAAATAATGTTTCAGAGACTCATCTATATTTCAGTCATAATCAACAATAATTAGTGGGGGGTAGTATTTATTTTCTATTCACAAAACACATGCACTGGGATATGTCTGTTTTTATGGTGTCCTCAAAGAAAAGTTAACAGAAATCGTAAAAATGCCAACTGACACAGTGAACATTGAGCTTTCTCGTCAGTCCACAGTTGTGCTCTTATGTGCAATTACACAGATAAAGATGTAAAGTTTATGGCTTTTCCTCAGTTGACCCAACTGCCCTCACAGAATAATCCCATTGGAAGAGATCCAAAAGATAGTTGTTTAATAAGAAATAAAACCAGCCAAAGCATATTAACCCGACCACTGTACATGTGAGAATTAATAATGTAGTTTGAGTTAATTGTGTATTTGTACATTCTATCACATTGAAAAGTAACTGAGGCTGAAATGAACACCTGAAGCTGTGCAGTATATTCAAATGGAATACAGTTGATTCTCTTCTGCATCTGAATTTTTTGTCTGTGTGTTCTGATGTGATCTTATTTATTTGTCTCCCTCCCAGGCAGGACAAGCTCAAGGTTCATATGCGGAAGCATACAGGAGAGAAGCCTTACCTGTGTACGCAATGTGGAGCCGCCTTTGCTCACAACTACGACCTGAAGAACCACATGCGCGTACACACCGGCCTGCGCCCCTACCAATGCTCAAGCTGCTTTAAGACTTTTGTGCGCTCGGACCACCTGCACCGCCACCTCAAGAAGGACGGCTGTAACGGCATCCCGTCTCGTCGAGGCCGAAAGCCTCGTGTGCGAGAGCCAGGGCTCCTTGATGCACCCCTGGGCCTGCTGAACCCCATCTCCGACACAGGCCCTGGGCCTCGTACCATGAGGGGACGGCGGCGCTCAGAGGCATCATCAGCGGCTGAGGTGGAGGGGGCTGCTGAAGCCCATGCACACAGTCCTCAGCTGCAGGAGTTGGCAGTGGAGGCAGGGCCCTGAGACTGCAGGGGCGACAAGGACACTGCTGGATACCATAGTCACTCTGCACAGCCTGTGAGACAGGCCAGTGAACAGAGAGGAGAAAAAACATGCAAAGGCAAACTTTAAAAAAAAACAAACAAACAAAACAACTAACTATTCCTCTATAAACCAAATCAGGGTGTCACAAAAAAATCTAATCTTTATATTTCTTTCTCCTTTTACTTTAGGAAATGGAGTAGACATGCAAGCACTTGAGTCGGTTTATGTTTCTGAGCAAAGAACGCTTCAAATCATGCACCCATGACGTCCACTTTCTGGGCCATTTCTTTCTTTATAATATTAGGTGTTTTATACATTGGCATATGCTTAGGCAAATGTATGATAGATACAAAGAAATTCTGAGCAACTATGCAGTTGATTTAGATTTTTATTGGTTTTGTCCTCACAGCCTTCAAGCTCTAAGCAAGGTGTCTATAAAGCACCTTCTGGCTGCTGTACGGGTGAAGCGAGGACAAATCCTCCCAGTGAAAACAACTCTTTTTCTATTCTTTTGCAGGTCTGAAATGTACAGTTACCATAGAAACAACATTGCCACAATATGGCATATGCAAGGAAAACTCACCACAATTTTGATGCAACAGTTTTTCTCTCTAAATGTTCCAGAAAGAATCAGACAAGGGTTTGATTGAAGTGTTACTTTCTCTATAAAATGCATTTTAAGAGTCTATGGTTTGTCTTACTGAAAAACAAATCTGATGTTGAGTCAAATCCACTTTAATGGGGGCTCGTCAGTTGCAGGGCTAGGGAATACGAGGGGTGGAGGGTTTGTGTTTTTAAAGCACTACCATTGTCAATATCTGTTGGCTTGACTACGTTGCCTCTTACCCCTTACAACCCTGCAATTTCAGCATTTCTGTTTTCCCTTTTGATTTTGTCTTAATTTTTTGTTTTTATTTTGGCGTTCCTTTTTGTTGACTGCTTTGGGTACTTGACACTTTATAATTGTATACATGTGTATATACAGCAGGTGGTGATATGACATTGGTCCCCTCTTAATGCTGAGGTGTACTTAACAATCGGGTTTTCCTCTTAGGCTTGATGTCATATTTCTCACAGAGTGAAGCTTGTGGGTGAACGAAACAAACTGTATGAATGTTTGATGGAGAAAGAAACATTGAGTCAGCCATTTGTCCTAAACTTAACACTTGACATGTATAGTTCCTGCCCAAAGGATGAGGGGGTTGAATGAATGAATGTGCTTAACTTTGTGCAGTTTTTTTCGGAATCTGTCCTTGTGTGACAAGGCGCGGGTAGCATTTAACCAATCGCAGGTTAAAGGAATGGCAGGGAGCCCAAGTGAGAGAGTGACAAAGAGTACGAAGAACAGATAGATGAGCACCTTTTTTTTTTTTTTTTCTTTTTTTTTCTCTCTGTTTGCACAGCTTTACTAAAGATATCCAGCAGGGCGAGAGAGAGATGTATATTTAAAGGAAGTGGGGAGGGGATGGAGTGAGAGGAGGTTTATGGATCATGCTTATTCCAATCTTTTTGCCCTAGGGACCACACAACCGTGAGGCAACCTGTATGATGAAGAGAGCAATAAATACCTGTCCAAGTTGGGAGGCCAAATAGGAGCGCAGCTGCAGCTGGTTGATGGGGGAGGGGAATAAGGGAAGGGGAGGGGGATCTCACAATGTCTGTTGCATTCCAAAAAATAATCTCCCCCAGCTCAGCCACGTTTCCAGGCAGGAGGGGATCAAATCAGGCCTTTTCTCCCCCTCTCTCTCCCTCTGTAGTCCTCTAATGCCCCCGAACCAGCCTGGAGGGGATATTATTATATTAGAGCCTGGTGTTACTCTGGGTAGGACGCCTGGTGCTGGCAGTTTAGTGTGCGAGTGTGTTTACATGTACGTGTGTTTGTGTACATGTGTGTGTGCGTGGCAGCCAGGGTCGCTCTGGCCACATCATCACTGTGTGAGTCAGCTGCAGCCTGTTCAAACATGCACCCTGAGCTGCCAGCCCCAATGCACTTTCTCTGCCTCGCTCTCTCTCTCTCACACACACACACACACACACACACACACACACACACACACACACACACACACACACACACACACACACACACACACACACAGGGTCCAGGTATCCTGTAGAGAAGGGGGAAAGCACCAGAGCTGACAAATCTGTTTGAATATTGTCAGTGATTCCATACATCTGGATTTGTTAGTCTTAAAATATTCAAGTTGTGTTATTGTACTCCAAATCCAATGTTATTTTCCAAACTAGCACATTGAGCCTTTCAGTCCAGAACAGAACGATTTGGAGTTTGGAGTGATTTAGAGCCCCCCCCCCCCCCCATATAATTTTTGCAGTAGTGCTGTAGTTCAACTGTCGGTCCATATGCACCTTAATTGGAGAGATGCAGGTTATGAATGCACTTTGTTACTGAGGAGGGCACTTTTGTCAACGAAACGGGTACTCTGAAACAAACCAGATGCAAATGAGATCAGTCCTTTTGTCTGTCCGTGGTGAAGTTTAGCTCCTTCACTGGTTTTGTTCAGGTTTTGACGACAAGCTGCCAAAAAACACCCCAAAAATATACAAGTTCAGATTTCTAAAAAAAGAGACACAGGGTGGGTTCAGATACAAACATGGTGGGTTTTGTGACCTTTAAAAAAATAATCCATGTAACTGATTGCACTTGAAGTTATTTGTTAAAAAGAAATCTAGTGAGTTGTCTTTATGTCTTAATGTAAAGGAAAGTGATAGAAGGAGGAGGCAGACGAAGAGGAAAGGGCACTGTGTGTGTGTGGCGTGCATATTTTTTTTTTTCATGCATGTGCACAAGCATGTTTTGCTGGCTGACAGGCTGGAGGGTCTCAGGACAAGCTTGGATAAACAAACTTCGTGTCTACCCCATCTGTTCACCAGCTACTCTCATAACTACATGTGTTCTCTGAGGAACCACAGTGATAATAGGTCCACGGTACCACAGAAGCAAAAATACCGTATTGTTAAACAACTCATTGGACAATTGCTTGTTTACTTCACGGCTCTCTTGGTGCAGATTTGCATAACTCTTCATTTACCCTTGTTGGTCATTGTCAGGGGTTGGCAAGGTCTTGAGAGTTTTAGTTTCTATTTTTGTCTCTGTTATGATAAAGATGGGGTTTATTAATGCAGAGTTCGACTCCCACAGACAGGCCAATGTAAGCTGGGTATATCTACCTGGTGTGTGATCTTTATATAGTGGTACTTTGTATGAACTGCTTAACTCCATTTTGTCTTTATGTGGCAGAAGTGAGACCTGTGAGCCATCTTAAACACATGTGTCTTTGGACCTTAATATTTCCCCCAAAGTCTTATGTTGATTAACCAAAGCTTTTTGCCCTCAATCTTAGTCTACTGCAGGGTAGAAATGTTGAAAGTGTGTCTATAATTTATCCAGACTGGGCCTCCATGACTTAGCCACATGCAGATGCCCTCCTCTTGAATACATATGCAGAAAAGTGTGTGGAATCATAAAGATATTTACTTGAGTTTGCTTTCTCTCGCTCTTTGTATCCTTGTGAACAATAGAATAAGAGGTTTAAGGATGTATAGTTTTTTTTTTTTTCTCTGTCTACACTCGTTTTTCTTAAAATAACGGGTTGTGCTACAGCTATTTTTTTTTTTTCTAACAATTTTACGTGGCTGTGTGTGTGTGTGTGTGTGTGTGTGTGTATGTATGTATGTGTGCAGGGGGGTCGGGGTCATGGTTTTGGGTTGCTGTGCCAGGAGGGTGGGGTAAATGGGTGCTTGGGTGGGGTTATGGATATAAAGCCTGATAGCACTGGAAATGGTGCTTTAGCTGAGAGAGCAAAGTTTGCACTAATGTTAAATGTCCTTGTCCTGCTTATGGGAGAAGGGCAGGAGACCTGCGAGTTTCCATGAGCACAGAGCAGTGTGGTTAATACTCAGTTGTCTCGTAATGAGTCCATCCAACCCCTCCATAGAAATAATCATATACAGTATATTAAGAAATATACTGACGTCCAACAACAACAAATACCAAAGGAGAAAAAAATGGCTTCCCTTCAAGTCATTGGACATTTTAATCTAATGTTGGATTAATAGAGTTTTATTGAAAAGAGATTCTGGATGTAATTTAGATGGAAACTAGAAATGGTGTGATAACAGCAAATCATATTTGCTATTTATATTAAGAAATATTCCAAATATACAACATTTAGGCACTTAGAAAGTATCAAAGCCTCTCCGAAAACATTTGAAACATTTGCGTTTGTCCTGATCTGATGACTGGGATGTACTTTGTGCAGGTGCCAGAGATATTGGATCCAATTCTTTTTCAATTTCAGAGATGGGATTCTATCAATATTTGTCTCATGTTCAGTCAACTGATAATATAAAATGATGATGAAAAAAATATTGTTACTGTTAAACACTGTTATTTTGATGATTTCAGTTTACTTACTGAAAAGATTGAATTGAAATGTTCTCTAGTTGAAGCAGACTGGGACTTTGTGGCCTTGTCTGAGCAGCACTAAGCTTGTTGTTTTTATGTTTCCAGACAGTCATATTGTGCAGTGTGGGGCTGAGGCTCACTCCTACCAGGTGGACAATGCAAACATCAAGGGCCACAGTGTGCCTTATGTCGAAAGGAACTGGCAAAACTCACATCTTCATTTTAAAAAATGTTTTCATCAACACTTTCAAATTAATCAATCTAAATTTCAGATACTGATTGGCTTGGTACTTGGTACAAGCTTTACTTGAATGAATTTATAATAAAGTCTCTGTACTAGCCACTACTTCAGAGCTGTGTCTCTGTCAGTCTCTATGGATCCACAACTGGTGTGTCCCCGGCCTCAGTCCCAGACGAAGGTTACTCTGACACAGGCTACACTGAGACAGTCTCAGAACACTTGCGAGTGTTTTTCCAAATTGACCTTGATATGTTTTTATTTCCTATGCTGTTATCAAAGATTTTTGGTGGATCTATCTGAGAAGGCCATAAAACAAAGACGACCAACAACTATGATAACAATTGTAACTGTAAATAATCCAGTGAAGCAGGACTGGGTGACTGTTAATATCGAGATTTGTGGCGGCAGACGGGGGACTATTTGCTTTGCTTCGTCATTTTTCTGCACACCTGATATTTTTTGTGTGTGTTTTCCTCTTCATGCACAGCAAGCTGAGCGCAGCATATGCAGTACGGCACTATGCGCAGCGTGGCTCTGGCACTTACACAGACAGCCCTGGGTCCTTCGGAGAGGCAGGCTGCTGTCTGTTGGCTGCTCTCAGCCAAGTGGGGACAGTTTGCACTTGGAGTCTTTCTCAGTCTCTGGGGATACAAAGGTTGGCAGGAGGATTAAATACGGGTGGTAGGGGGAGGCTGGATGTTGTTTTCAGGGATGAGGTTAGAAAGCCCGGGTGATGGACTTATTTGCTGAGCAATGGTTCAGTATTGGTGTACTAAGCTGGTAGGAATTGCATGGCCACAATATGATAAGAATTGTAATACAAAGGAGGTCACCACAGATTTCACATCGGGGAACTGCAACAAGGAGAATGTTGCTTATCTCTTGTCTCTATGTAAGTACTACTCAGGTGGAAAATACACTGCTATGCATTGGGTTTCAGTGTCTACTAAGTTTATGGTATGTCTAATCACCCGCTGAGTTACTTCTGTCTTTGCCTTTCTTGTTCATACCGACATTTAACATAATACTTCCCAGAAAGATTAAAGCAGGAACAGTTCCCTCATTGTAAAGTAGCTGTGACCAGCCTATTTCTCCATCTAATATTGATCCAGTGAATTGTTTGTTGGAGGGAAGGAAGCCACTGGAGATTTGGTCTTATTAGTCAGACTGTAACATTTTTGAAAGGAGATGGGGTTGGAAAAGCATAGGGGAGTGTTGGGGGGTGGGGTTGCGTTCTCTTGCCTTCTTCTCCTATCGCTCTCCCTCTCTTCGGACTCAGTCTACATCTTTGCTGCCGACTGGCCTTTGATCAAAGATCACACACCCTCAGCAGGGGAATCGACAGGAGAGAAATGAGGGAGAGGGGATTGAATGAGGTATGGAGGAAGAGACAGTTTCAGTTTTAAGTCACCAAAACTAATTTTAGGATACATTCCATAACTTCATACTGTGATTCCCACATTGGAGTTTTTGGCAGGTGAAAAAGACGTGAGTTGTAGGCAGCAGGAGCAAACAGTCAACATTTTCCAGTTGGCTTTTTCAGTCAGTCCATCTAGCCTCACCATCCCTCTACTGTGTGACAGACAGACATGTAGACAGACAGTTCAAAAGGCCGCCGGTGTACTGCTATCCAACTGCCTTTTTTCAGCTTCTGCGATTGTAACAAAAGCACTTTGCGAAAGGCCATCCTGAATTTTGTGTGCTTTTTATTTTATGGTTATCACTATTGTTGTTATTTTGTTGTTCCTGTTGATGTTTTTTTTGTTTCCTCAGCACAGATGATTATTTAAATGCAAAAAAAACCCCGATATGATGATTATAAAAAAAAATAAAAATAAAAAACTTGAATATTTGTATTGAAGATGGTTGGTGCTGCCACCTTATCTGGACATAAACAAACACATCTCTGTACTACCAGCGTACCTGTTGTATGCAGCTTATTGCATAGTCACACAAAGGTGGGGACGGGTGGGGATTTGGCGGGGGGGCGTAGGACGGATCTCCCCCTACCTGCTCTCTGCTTACTGTCTCAGATCTTGTTGGGAGAAAGGTCATATGATCTCATTTTGGGAGACTCCTTTTCTTGAAAAAGAAACCTGTATAACCATTGCAAAGCTTTCTGAGAAGGCTGGCTGTGCTGAATGTTAAACATGCAGTGTTGTATCTACTGCAGAATCTTTGTCTGCAATAACGCCCTGTCTGTGTAGTTAAAGGCTGGATCTGGTATCCACATTGCGCTTAAATGATTATAAAAAGACAGATGAAATGGCCAACTGACCATCATGCACTTTTGCAAATCAGTACAGAAAAATGTGTTGGCCTTAACATCTATGTTAAATCAAAATTGTTGCAGTAGAGTGGAAAAGGTAATATTGATCATAATAAACATTCAATAAATCCATAGTTCAGTAAATGGTTTAACTTGGGAGAGAAAGAAATGGGCTACTATTTATAATAGACTGATTTGTAACTGTGATTATGATTTTTTGATGTACATTTAATATGTCCCAATTCTCAAACCTGGACATTATTTGAAAAGTTGCGTGAGGCAGACGATTGTTGCTGCGCTTCTCTCTGTTAAAACTTTCCTCCTTGTTGCACATCTGACCATACCCCACTTTGTGCATCACAACAAATGCATTGCAAAGGCAGAATACCTGCTGTGACATCACTAATTTAATCAAGTGTGTCCAGAAAGTGCAACGTCATCAAACGTTTTAACCCCGAGAGTGCAGCAGCTGTTTCCTTCCCTACGCAATTCAATGTGGACTCCCTTTTTAACGTCCCCTTTTGCTTCACAAAGTTTGTTGGTTTTTTTTGTTTTTTTCTTAGCAGTCTGTCAGTCCATATCTGTTGGAAGCTGCGTGGGTTGGGGGGTTTTAGGTGATTTTTGGAGAATTTGCACTTTTTGGCGATGAAAAGAAATTGTATTGTATATGAGACCACTAAATCCACACAGTCTAAACCATATAATTCCATTTTGTGTCATTGTTTTTGTTCTGTTCTTCATTTTTTTTTTTTTTTAATATATCCAAAAATGTCTGGCATCTGGTTGTCTGGTTTAAAGAATATAAAATCTTTCTATTAAAAACAATGGTTGCAAAGTTTGGCGTGGATAATTTTGTCTCTTATCCTAACTGCTCGAACATAATACATTAGTTTAGTATAGTAATAAAAACAATAGTGTTTGGTTTCTGTAGGCAGTATATCTGTAACTAGGAATGTATGGTAATTATACCCTTTTTTTTTTCAACATAGCTATTTGACTGGATTATGTACTTTCTTTTTTTATATAAATACATTATATTGACATTTGTTTGTTATTTCGCTTGGTTTATGTACTGTACATAATGCAACCTCTTAGGACAAGTCAGTTCTCTACACCAACCAGAAGGTGGCAGTAATATCACTGTTATAATTTGAGGACTCTCTCTCTCTCTCCCCCCCCCCCCCCCCCCCCCCCCAGTTCAAATTAGCTTTATTGGCATGAATGTAACAACAACATTGCCAAAGCATCGTATGTATGTATGTGTGTGTGTGTGTGTGTGTGTGTGTGTGTGTGTGTGTATAATTTCATTCTTATGCTCGTTCACTCACTCTCTATGACCAGGACAGCACAGATCAAGTTAGTATGTACATTTTGTCCAATGCATAAACACGGACTCTCCCACAGTCATGCTAACATTCAAACCATTGCAAATAAAGTATCACCATATATGGTGTGTTTTGGCCTGATATGCGTCAAGAGTGTAGTCAACTAGTTTGGTTCCAAAGGATATTTACAAAGAGAGGTTAAGGTCTTGTTTGAGGATATATCTATCGAGGTTAGGCCACCTATTGTGTTTTTAAATCTGATTCATCCCAGAAGTCCAGCGGCAGACTGCAACCATGGGCTTGTTGTCACCCTGTCTTCCTGTTTGTCTCGGTCTGTCTCCCTGAGGCAATCTTGTGGGGTGACAGAGGTCATAGAACAGCTCATTAACCCCACCCCAACAGCCCACACATTGCTGCAGTCCTTAGGCCCTGGCTACATACACATTTTATAATACTCTGCTAAGTCGACTTAAGCCCACTCCGTAAGCAGTATGTTTCAGGGATGCACCATGAGACATGTATGTGTCTTGCATGCTGCATGTATGTATCACTGCATCTAAATATGTTCCTGCTAGATCTGGCATACCCACATTTTCCTTTTTTGTGTGACAAATTGTATGGTTTGCATTTTCTAAAAATTAAACCCCTTTTCAACATTTACTATAAAACACATCCACACTGAGTGATATCTTAAATATATGAGATTTATATGAGTTTTATTCAGTCATGTTGAACCTGTTGGCCAGATGTCTCGGGGCTCCAAGTCATTAATTGTTATGTTTGTAAGGTATTTAAAAACACAGTGGGATATGGTGTTATTTTCCATGTTCAGACATCATTGTTGCAGTCAAAACATATTGGATAAGAGGAACAGCAGCACTTCAGGGGCTAGGAGATGCCTGGGAGCTGTTGTCTGGCGTCTGCAGTTATACCCCCACTCTGTGCATGTGAATGTGCATGCGTGTGTGCGTACACATGTGCCTGCAACTGTTTCTGTTAACATGTTTGTCTATATGCTTATGCGCAAAGGTGTGGTTTTATAATCTCACTTGCTTGTATACTTGTGCATGCACAACATCGTTGCTAAGGCTCACAGTAAATGAGCGTCTTATTGCCCTCACAATGAACACTTGGAGACAGGAGGCTGTAATGTTAAGGAAAACACACACACACACACACACACACACACACACACACACACACACTAGCCTAATTTTCACCAGTACACACCTTTCTCCAGGGATATAAAATGCCCCTGCCTCTGCACACTGTGGGACATGAGTTTCATCCAAACTAGCTGCCGTCCTCAATAAAACCCACGTGAGCAATCTCTGCAGTATAGATTTCTAGTTTCTCTAAGGGTATATTTTGTTCAGATCAGGTGTTTAAACTGCTCAATATGACAATAATTAGGCAGCGCTGAAGACATGTGTTCTTTCTTATGTTGATAAGGGACATTGACCTTTAACCTGTGCACCCCTGTAGTCCCCCAACTACCGCAACCCACCCGTCCCATATGCCCCAAGCCAACACCCCCCTCTTCTTGCCCTGTCCAGCTCCCATCAGGAAAGATAGAGGGGAGGGGGGGGGGGGACAGGCTTGGAGCCTCGCCTCTGGCCATCTCCTCTCCTCCCCGGAGAACAGAGGACTGAGGTGCCTTTAAACCACTGCGGCAAAAACCCTACCAAAACCCTGCAGTCATTAATATGCAAAAATGCAAATGAGTAGGTAATTAAGAGCTGGAGCTCTCTGGAGGCTCTTTGATTGCTAATGAATTCTAATCTGCAAAGAAAGGGGGGAGGGGAGGAGGAAAAGAGATGAAAGAAATAGAGAAAACAACGAAAGAGAGAAGCCTTAACCTGAAATTTGTCATATCCATAAGTTTTCATATCGGATTTGTTTTTCCCTGGAAGCTGTAATCGAAATTATTAGCTTAGTTATTTGAGACAATTACTTGATGGTGACATAAATGCATTAAGAACAGCCTTCAAAACACATTTATGTCAAGTAAGGAAATGGATTTGCTGTATTATTTCTCAGTAAACGGCCATGGAAATAAGAAGTCATGTTTTCCCATGTAGATTACATTGATGAAATGAGTATCAATGGTCAGAAATCTGTTTGTAACGGACACAGTGTAGTCATTGTGTAGATATGGCTAATTAGAGGAGAGCATGACAGGCGAGCAGACACATCTGACCAGCGGCTACTAAAGAAAATAGAAGGTCAGATATCTCAACAGTGTGTTCTTTGCTGCAATAGCAGCTGTGCGCTGAAGTAAAGGAGATGTCATTTCATCACTTTCGTGTGAGCCATAACACATCCCCACTTCCACTCTAACTCATTCACTCTGTCACTCATACACACACAGATGCATACACTGCTGTTATTGTTGTTGCAGTGCTCCCACGACACCAACTATCTCCGCTTCCCTCCCCCACACGGGCTCACATCTATCTCCCTTTCACCATCCTCTCTTCCCCCTCCTGTCCTGGGCAGCCCTGACATGCCTACTTCAATTGATTTAGAGTCAGTTCATCTTCTGATCTGATTGTTATCATGTGACTTCACGCACACGTCCACCTCAATATATATGACTACTGTATTATTTTCAGATTGGGGCAGAGATTTTTGTTTTGGCTCAGGTAGGATTATTCCTCTCCACTTGGCACTTTCTCTGTCTGCTTGCTCCACTCTCTTTCTCTTTCTGTGTCTCTGTATATCTCACCTTCCTATTCTTCATCTCTCAAATAAAACTCAATTCAACCACTACCACAGTCTCCTATTTGCTCTATTCCTCAGCAGTACAGTCTGGTGGTGGGGGTCTTGATTGCCCGGCTTTGTAAACAGGAAGCTGGTGTTCTGTTCACTGTACCTGAAGCGTGGGTGGCAGAACAGGGGCACACATACAACTGCACAATAATGGGAATCCAAGATGGCAGGGAGGGGTCCCATAAAATCACCAGAGAGAACAGAGGAAGAGGGCATGCAGGAAAGCCATTATCAGACAGAAGTCAAAGGGATTGTTGATTTAGGTTTTCCTTTAGTAAATAGATTGTTGATTTGTTCGTCTGTCTGTATTGGATCTAGAACTGTAGTGTTTGGGAGGATTAATGTCATGGACAATCCCTCAAACTCATTTTCTTTCCCACTGCCATGGTCCCATTTGTGATGAAGTTAAATCTGGGTTCATTGTGTCCCTTTGAGTTTGGCTGTTTTGAATACCTTTGTATTGTTTTGAATTCAAGAATATATGCCGTCCTCAGTAGTTCCAAAACAATTGCTCTGCCCTGCTTAAGTTTTCCAGCTATCCCTGAAAAGGGATAGCATAACCTTGTGGATTGCTGCTGTTTAAATCACTCACTCCACGCTCCGCACATTTTATTGTTGTTTAACATGTTGGAAGTCAGTGCAGGTTTGGGTGTTTTCTGCCAGGCGAGCCGTAATAGGGGGAAGAAGCTTGACGGGAGTCAGTTTATCATGAGCACAGAGAGCACAACAGATAGATTCCCCGTGTCTCCTCCCCTTCAGCACAGATAGACTCAGAGCATGGGCACTCAGCCAACACTATCAATCTATCCGCTCCTACCCCCAGCCTCTAACTCTTATTGGAGGAAAGCTTCCAAAGGGGCAAGGAAGCATGAATCATAGCCCGGCTATGAGAAGCTGTTATGCCTCCAAATACACGTGTTGTGGCTCAAAATCACGCTTCGCCATTTAATGATAATCTCGCAAGTGATTGTCACAGCCCTGTAACAAAGTTGTAGCATTTAGGAGGGGCTGAGGCTGTCCAGGGAGGGGGATTGTTGGTCTTGGCCTAGTTTTCTTGTCTGATCAGAAACCTGTGCACCTCTGCCCTTCCCCCACCCAAACCTAAGCCTCTACTATTACAGGCTGTGAGGGGCTCAGTGTGGAACGAGGTGAGCAGCTTGCCTCACCACTGAGCTCTGTGTGCGCTGCGTGTGCTGCCTATACTGTATGTTTACGGGCTCATCATTGTGTGTGATATGACCCGGTGATGTGGTTTGGCTCGCATGGCTGGCTTCCTATGAGCAGAGGCAGGATGGCAATGAGGGCTAAAGGTGTAAAACGTGTGAGAGCATTGAGGCAGGTAGCTAGCTACGAGGCTGTGGTAACAAAACACTGCTTTGTGATTGGAGGTTAAAGCAGCTAGAATGAAAGGTGGCATATGTGAGGCATCTATGTGACTGCCCTCTTTCTTTGGTCTCCACAAAGCATTATTGATTAAAAAAAAAAATCCAAAGAGGATTAAATAACTCGTACACATTATTACATGATGTTAATTCTTGTGTGAATTTATGTAATATATAAAATATGTGTAGATAGATAGATATGTCATTAATATGCACAAATATATGACCGATTAGCACCAATGTGCCAAACATATGCAAATTTTCTATGTGCATCTGTTGTTAATTACAGATATGAAGCTGGAAATGGCTCGAAGGAATCATCGAGGGCATGTGTGACAGGATGCATCCCTATTCTG